TATGACACAACAGTGGTGAGTGTTCCCACCTTCTGCTCTTTGTAACTTAACGCGATCTTTCCGTTTTTCGAGTTTTGGACATGATTTTGGAGTATATCTTCGCAGTAGCGATTGACCGCAAAGTAAAGCTACCGGAAATGTACAACCCCACATCCACAACACGTCTCAAACCAGGAAGTTAGCATTTTCTTGTGCACAGGGTCAATTACATGAAGCGTTCCAGTGCCGTATGCTGAAAACAGCCCCACACCATGATGTTCTCACCTTCACATTTTACTGCTGGTATGTTCACAGCCTTGTCTAAATGTTGATCAGTAAACTTTAAACATGCTTCAACATATGTTTTCTTCAGAAATGGAGGTAATGAGCGTGCATACAGGTCAAGGTTGCAAAGGTTTTTGAGCTGGTGTCACGACTTTCCATGCCTCCTTCAGGTGTTCAATACTTTTTCCCTGTGTCATTTCTCATTAGAAACACATCATTTATGCACATCTATGGTTTGATTTCTTTAATTGTGTGGATTAGATGCTTCTTTGCCAACATCTAGTGAGAATTTCATTGCATAGTACCTTTAGAAATATATTAATTGAGAAAACTGGTGATTTGTGATTATTTTTCCAATTTTATTATTCCAGGATCACTATAATTTACATGCTACACCTCAACAGAGCTCTGTCCAGCTGCTTCAAGCACTTCCACATCACCATACTCACTTGTCCATCTCCAGATTACTCAGCAGGACACTTGCAGCACCCATAAAGTCATCAGTTGTAAGGTCACGGTCATACACCTGTATATCAAACATCAACAGTCCTTTAACACAAGACAGAACTGTGCTGACTGTCCTACTGCAGTATCTTTGAAAACTCATAGAGAGTGATAACAGCCGTTTTGTTGGATTTAGAAAGGTGCACAGACACTAATCATACATTGATTTTCATAACACTTTGACAAAAAAATGTCACCCTAACTACATAGCGAAGGATAGAAAACATGCACTGACATGCACATTTCCACAACAGACTATGACTCTCACTGTTAAAGTTGCTCATTAAAACTTTCACATTCATTATTTCCCACACTGTTGACATGACCTTTATTAAACTGACCATTAAAAAAAAAAGTTACCTTGATGTAAACCCTCTGATTCAGATCCTTAATGGGCAAAGAGAAGGACTCATTCCACACAGGGTTGAGGTTTTTATAAACCACTTTACTTTTGTAGAACGTTTTTCCATCCAATTTGAATTTGACGTAGGGGTCGCTGGTACCTGACAATGAATATTGCAAACCAGTAAATAGAAAACAAACAAACAAATAAACAAACAAACATACTTTTTGGAATGACATCATCAGGGCCCTGTAATATGAAGCAAGATAAATATAAGTAGGGTATTTATTCATTATCTTGATTCACTTAAACTAAAATCAGCCATCGGCTTAGTCACACATGGCTTTTAACAACACACCAAATTAACCCAGGGTTTCCCAGTCAGGCTATGAGAACATTCACACAAAGGGGTGGAATCATGCACTGTTAGCAGAGTGGCTGATTTTACGAAGGAGCACAAAATTATGACCCCAGACATATACGGAGATCTTAAACACATAATACAGACTGAAAGCAACACGTGCTGCAGAGAAATCTGCAATGTGAGAGCAAAAGCACTCTATAGTAATTTAGTATTAAAATCTCTGTATAAGTATGTGAGAACTGTGTGAGTACTTTGGTCAATAAGACTGAAAAATGCCAACAAAAATCTATAAAACTCAACCTATTTGAAGGCAGGAAGAAAAGCAAGCCAAAAATGCTGACTGTGGAAGTTAACAGACTTATGACTATTACAAAACTATAATTCATCTAAAATCCTCTTTATTAATAATCCTCACAAAAGGAAAGATAAAGAAAAAAAAAGACCCTCC